TTAAAATGCCAACTTGTGATAATCTAATTTCATCCCAAAAGGAATACTTTAAAATCACAAAGAATGTTTTCTTTTCAGATATTTTTACAACCACTACTCCTAGAAATTAAACTTACCTGCAGAAAAAAATTCTTAAATACACTTACCAAATAAAATTTTAAATATCAAATATTGAACATATACAAAGTTTGCATATACTATACCTTGACTTTGACAAGTCTTTTTGCTGTCTTGATCTTGGCTTCACAAAAGGCTCCTCTGTATTTAGCGCTAACGTCAGTACCCACTGTCAAATAGGGAGGCTCATCAAGGGCCTAAAATGCAAACAAATATAATTATATATAAACTCTGTAATTTTTTCCCACAATTAGCCTCAGAATAGCAGCTCTAATCCTTTTATAGCTGTAAAAGTTGTAATAGTTGAATGTATGTTTAATAAGAACAATCCATAAAATATTCTTAAAAATAAATGTCATAAAGCCTATTTAAATGTACTAAGTGTACATCATAAAATATAAAGGCATCTTTTTTCTCTACATATAATACATATGGTCCATAACATGAACTAGCTCAATCACAAGTCTACCATCCCATTTCACCCATTCATTCAAATATTTATTTGCTATATGACCACTTAAAAAGAAGGCAAATCGTTAAAACTCAAAGTCTGAGAAAATTTATTTAATGTTTAAGCTGTATCTTAGTACCCACCCAAATTCAGAATAGCTTTGTTATATCTCTATCTAGACAAGTCTAAGGCAGAATAGCATAAAGTGGGGGAAGGGGAATTACATGTACTCAAAGTTCTGGTGAAAACTATATAGAGAAATCCAAGCTGGTGAATCTCAAATAAAAATAAGCCAAAATGTCTCAAATACTTTGGCATGAGTTCACTGTTTATTTACCCTTGTGCATTAAATAATATTTTAAGTTTCCTGACTTATGATTTAGTTTTTAATAGTCCTAATCTAGCTGTTCTGACTTTTTACAATCAGGTGAATTTCTGCATAGGATCTATATTTCTAAGGAGTTTTACTTAAATTAATTTCACAGCCAAGGAAAGATTATGTAAATAACTTTTCCCAAAGTGTTTTACAAGAATTACTAATATCCCAATGTACTCCACCAAAAAGAAGAGAAAGGGGTGAATTTGGGAAAAGGAGTTCAATGAATAGAACCCACTCTTCCTCATCATTTCCCAATTTATCTGTCCAAAGAACCCTTTACTTTCTATTAACATCCTGCAGAAATTCCATAGAACATTTCATCTGGCAAATTTCATCTGGATCTTAAAACTATCAGGCTGACCTTCTTAATGGCCACTTGCTTCATATTCTATATATTTCATAAAAGTATGAAAAAAAGAACTCAAAACATATCAAGTACCTGATTTTTAAGTATACTCGGAAAATGCATATATTTCATTTATGCCATAACATAAGTGTACCTCACTGAAAGTAATCATTGCTTCATTACTAGTTTTTAAATTTGTTGATATCATTAACTACAGCTTGATAATTGTGCATTGCTCTTGCTTGCATTAAGTTAATAAATGTGCTTCTTCTTTACCTACCTGCCTTAGTCCACTTAAAATATCATTTTCCTTGGTCAATATTTTGGTTAAATTCCAGATAAACTAGTGGCTTTATTTTAACAAGGATATGAAACGGACTCACAGCACTTCATCCAGAAATTTTAAGAAAATTTCAAGAAGACAGCGATTCACTTTGTGATTCAATTGTTATTGTGTATTAACGCTACAGAAGTCCAAATTGAGGGGCAGTCTTCATGACAATAAGACTTCATTACTCCCCACAACTTTCCACCTCTACCATTCACAAATCCTGTCTTATCAGCCACCAATTTTCATAGACAAATAGTATAGTTAAAATAAATGGAAACTAATGAGGAACCAGATACTGAAACGTAGGAGAGAAAAGAAACCAACTAAAAGTTGTACTTTTGTGTCTGCTCAGAAACAAGTATGTTGAGAAGTGATAACCTTTTTAAATATTTTTATTGCATTCAATTCTGAACAGAAAAGGGAGTAGAATAGTAATATATTCAGACTACTAGTATACAGAAACCTGTTTATGTGTTCTTTTCATTCATATTCAGATCAAATACTGGTAACATTCCAACCATAGCAAACTATAAATATATTTACTGAGCAAATTTATTCAACTTGAATTTGAGAGAAGGGATTTTTTCCCCCAAACAAAGCCCATTCCATGTCTTCATCAACATGAAAATCCATGGTGACAGAAAATAGTAGTAATTACCTCAAATATCATGGGGGCAAATTATTATTTTGAAGGGGAACATTTTCCTTCCTTAGAACACATGAAAAAGAATTAGCAAGGCATATAAAGAAAATGTTCATTAGAAAAATACTTGCAAAGAGAAAATGAAGTCTAATAAAAACCTGCTAAAACTGAAATATTGTTAGACTAATGTTAATTTGTTAAAAAGAGCATAGGAAAAGCAAAGATCTATGTTCTGATCTTATTTCTGCCTCTATCTGGTTTCTTTTTCTGGTATCACCTAAGGTAAGTTACTTTTCTGTTCCTAAATGCTCATTATTAGATAAATATAATAATTTGAATTCTGTGTACAGTAGAGTTTAACAGGCCTGTGTCAAAGCATTGGGGTTACAAAGATGATCAGAATGGGATACTTCCAGACACACAATCATCTAGAAGTAAAATTATGCTAACCAAAATATGAATGAAAATTTCTACAGAAAAACAAATAAAATCCATAACTTACATGGTCAGACTTGTATAATTTTAGCAGAACATAAATTATCATCCCATTGTTAGAATAACAAAGAAATAAAGCAGACTAAAATAGCACAGGCTTTCAAAGCAGGAAGACAAGGTCTTAACCCCAGCTCCATTCATTATACTAACTAGGTGAGTTTTTGTAGGCTACTGTACCTCTCTAAGCTTCAGTCCACATCAGGAATATAGGGTCATTATTAAAAAACATTCAGTTATGATGCCTGAAGTATTGAGCTATTAACAAGTACTACGATGTTACAAAACACTCAATATGGGCAAACAAGTCATTAAAGCAATATAAGTTCAGAAATAATGTAATCATGTTGAATTCTGGTAGCAAGAAAGGTTAAGTGTTTGTAGGAATGCTCCATTAGGAAGTGTATCACTACCCCTTAGTGTGGCAGAAAGACAATCAAGACTATACAACTATTCTAAGGCTACTATACTTAGGTCCAGCATAGACATATGCAAAGAATTACGTCAGTAGGTTAACTAATATTCTTTTGACCAACACCAACCCTTTTATATACACATGTATACAGCCAGAACAATTCTTATCTTTTCTTTTTGCTCTGCCTCTCTGAATCTGGTCATTATTATGGACCATCTCAGAGGCTAAAATGAAGTATTTTTATATAGCACTTCCATGCCAAAAAGTAAATTAAACTACTAAATTACCATCTCTTTGTTTATCAAACAGAACAACAGTTTTCTAGTTGTCAAGGTAAGAGCTACCTCACAGTTATCCAGCATTGCTTAAACAATTATTTTTCTAGTCAATCTATCAAATGCCCTAACGGGCACCTAAAAGCCATTGAATACCATGGGAACACCAAAAGGCATAGCAATTTTTAAATGAGCTATGGGTGGATAATAATCCTTCAAGAAGCCAAAATGCCAGGGAAACATGTGAGTGCCCAAATGAATCAACAATAATCTCTAATGTGTCTTAGGCTGCAGTATACCAAATATATAAAATAAGTTTTAGAAAGACAATAGCTCCATCAACTCTCCAAACAGCTAATATTGACAACTGCCTAGAAAATATTCAGGTATTCAAGATGTATTTTTAAGAAACCAAAACATGCTAGATGATGTATTATTGAGATAGTTTCTTAAAAAGAGTAAGCATCCAAACTGGTTACCAAGGCAGTGCAAAGAAGCCAGGAGAGTCAAGAGTATTAAATGTGATGCTAAAACCTTCAGTAAATAAATGTATTTACTTAAACACACAGTGTGACAATAAATCTACAAAAACAACCTTTCTGTAGATGACAATCTCAAAGAGACATCAAAACAATGGAGATAATTCAAACAGATGAATGAATGATACACCTATATACCAAAGGGTATTATCATTTAAAAACTAAGTTTAAAATTAAAATCCATAACTTTTTAGTACATATAAAAGAATGAGTATATTGAAGAAATAAAGAAAACTGCAATCTAACTTTGGAATCTTCCCTGGAGCCATTTCCTCTCTTCCTTTTCATGTGGTACTAAGGACATGGGACAGTGAGGACTAAGGGTTGGGGTACTGAACAAATGTATTCCTGGATATAGGATAGACCAAAAAGGAAAGAGAGACCTTACTGGGAGAGTTATTTAAGTTTGAGTGTTCTGGGGATAAGATGGTAGTTTTATACCAATGCTGATTTCCTGATCTACAGGGCTGAACACAAGGTAGGTACAAGAGTGTCCTTTTTGTTGGAAATCACACACTGCAGGATTTAGGGGTGACAGGACATCAAGTCTGTAGTTCTCAAAAGTTTAAAGATAATAATGAGTACATATACACATATGTATATAGATTATATGAATATATATATACACATGTGTATAGATTATATGAATTCTTTGGGCTATAAATTCAAAATTATTTGAAAATGAATCATTTTAAAAAACAGTACATATTTATTGGGCATTTGCATATCTTTTTCTATGAATTGCTCCTTTATGTCCTTTACCCATCTTTCTGAGTTACTCATTTTACTGGATTAGAAAAGTTCTTGCATTAAAAAATTTTTTTAAAAGTCAACACTTCTCCCCAAACACAAAAATCTTCCCTCGATGCTACCTATATTTCCTACTATTATCCCTAAAATTTAAGTTACTTTAAGGGATGGAACCACAAATCTCTTATAAGTAAATTTTAGACCTACATCTAATAACCAGAAAAATACCTGCATATTCACAGATATAAACAGAGAGGTATCTGCATATTCCTGGAAATTTAACTAATTCAAAACAGACATTCTAAGTAAAATGTCCATCATCAGAAAAGAAGTAGGAGAAATACAGGAAGAACATACTGTTTAAAGACACTGTATGAGCCAAAAAAGCAAAGGTACTTTTCATCATTTAACAGAAAGGTAAATTTATTTTGCCCTCAGAAGAGGTTAATTTGTTATCTCACTAGTGAGGTGGAAACGTTAATTCAAGTGCAAATGAGTCTGCTTTAGTGAAACATCACTATCAGAACATATCATGCCTATTTATAATATTTAATCATTAATGATCAGGAAATTAGA